CAGATCCCCCCAAGCCTGATCTCATCCTTTGGGTGGAAGGGAGAGGAAGGCAGGTGAGAGGGGTTCTCTCTAGAGGATCGTTTTCTGAGACTGGCTAATTAGAGGCTTCCTAATTAATGAGCTATGGGGTTGCATTTCATCAGCTGAGTCACAGTTTATGTCTAGGCCCTGGGCCCAGGGGGAGGGTATCAGGAATCGGGGCGGAGGGGGAGCCTGTGTCTCTGCCTCCCCAACCTGATTCTCTACCTCTTCTCTTTTCAAATTCAGTTCTCCCTACCGGTTTAGAGGGTATCAGCAGCCTCCCTCCCTCCTTCCTCCTGCTTCTGCTTCCTGACAGCTTCCTGGGACTGTCCCCAAGTTTGACCATCCTTCGTGCCTTCCCACCCCTCCAGGACCATGCAGGGCTCATTTGGTTACTGTTTCCCAGTCACCCAGTTTCTCTTTCAAACTGAATCTCCCTCAGCCACACAAATCACACAACTGGGGTTGCTATCTGCAGTGTGGCAACCACATCTCCATAGGATCTGGTGGGCTCTAGTACCCATTGCCCTCGCGGCCGCAGCCTGCTTAGAGACCCTCTGGAGCCACTCTGTCCCCGCTCCTTCCCTGTATGGCTCCTTCCCATATCCTCCTCTTTCAGTAACTGTGTGTGACGGGTACTTTTCCACTCACATTTCAACCAGGAGATTTATCCATTTACATGAGGTTAACTCTGCTGAGTCTTTGGGGGGGGCGGGGGGGAATTTTTATTTTTATGTCTAGAGTTGTAATATTTTTGAATTTTCAAAAGCTGTGCTGTAGCTTAGTCATGAGTTATCCCGTAATTAGACTTTTTTGTGCCTCTGGTTCCAGGCTGCATGGTGGACTTGGACCTGAGTGGAGAAGTTCCTATATGTCCTGGAGTTGGGTGGTCTCTCACCAGATCAGTGCTCACAGGGCCCCTGTGCCCTGCACAAGGTCCCTGTTCAAAGGAGGGCTCCTTAGAGGCCCTCCAGTGACAATATTCAGGCCATCTCTGTAGAGGGGACTTGAGTCTGCTCTTTGCCAGCCTTTGCTACCTACAGAGCATCTCAGAGGTTAAGACTTGGTGGTCTTGGAGTCAGTCAGATGAGCTCCTCATGGAAAGGAGCCTCAGCTTTCTCCTCCCTCAAGAGTTGTGAGGATGAAATGAGACAAGAATATTAAGCACTTAGCATGATGCCTGGGTGCTCGACACATAGAAACTTTTTTCTAAACTTTTGAACGGCGAAAGTTTTTCTTAATACACATGGATGGCTTTCCAATTCTCCATAATCTTGATAATATATGCAAAATCATGTATGTGTAAACCCCTTGTTCCAGGGCCCATCTTCTGGACACAGCTGGCCCCTCCACAGGCGGCAATATGGCTCCTGAGCTCCCCAAGGACCAGCACTGGCTGCTCAGGCTGCTGGCTGGTGGGGCCAGAACTGTTCTTTTTGTATTTACGCCACAGAGTCTTTGGGCTGCAGTCCTGTAAGTGGGATGGCTGGGTCAGAGGGTACATGCATTTGTGACTTTGCTAGATATTGTCACATTCCCCTCCATGGAGGTTTGTCCCCCTTGCATTCCCACTGGCAGTGTGTGACAGTACCTGTTAATCTACAATTTCACCAGCAGATTGTGGCCAAATTTTGAGATTTGTGTCAATTTGCTAAACAAGAAATGGTATTTCGAGTCATTATTTCATCATATTATGAGCAAGGTTGAGTATCTTTTGACATATTTAAAAGGTCATTGCATTTCTTTGTGAGTCTTTCTTATTTTTAGGAGCTATATAATAGGGATATTAACCATTGTAATACAAGTTACAAATACATTTTCCCAGCTTGAAATTTGTTTTTACTTTGCTAATGGCGGTTTTTTTGGTTTTGGGTTTTTGCTATGTAGGAGGTTTTTTGGTTTTAATTTTTATGTAGTCAAATTTATTGATTTTTTTTCCCCTACTGCATCTGGATTTTGAATCAGAAAGTTTTCCTTGCTCCCAGATTTACAGGAATTCCCTTGTTTTCCATTTCATTCTCGTTCTTAGATGGTTTCATTCCTCCAGTGACTCCAGCACCACTTTTTGGAAGATCTGTCTTTCCTCGTTATTGCTGCTGCCGCCGTTACAAGCAGCACACTGAAGATCCATATGCGGCTGGGCCTGTTTCTGGATTTTTTTTTTTTGAGGAAGACTGGCCCTGAGCTAACATCCATGCCCATCTTCTTCTAGTTTATATGTGGGATGCCTACTGCAGCATGGCTTGCAGAGCAGTGCCATGTTCACACCCTGGATCCGAACCAGCAAACCCCAGCCCGTTGAACTAGAACGTGCGAACTTAACTGCTGGGCCACCGGGCTGGCCCGTTTCTGGATTTTTAATTCTGTTTCACTGGTCTGTGTATGCATGGGTTAGTTCTCCATTCCCAACCCAAACTGTTATTCATTTTCAGGGTTTTCTTGGTTATTCTGGCTTGTTCTTCCAAATGATCTTTTTAATAAGAATAGTGTCTAATGACAAGGGCAGATGTCCATGCAATATTGTTAAGAGAAGTAGCAGGCAACAGAACCACACAGTATATACACACACATTTTTTTCCTTATAGAAAAATACTGGAAGGGAAAAAACCAAAATGTTTGTATGGTCATCTCTTGATCGTATGGTTACGGGTAGCATCACCTTGTTACTGGCACAAACCTTGATGGAAAAAAACTTGCCAAGCGCCACAAGGCTGCCTCCTCCACCTTCCTCCTCACCTCATCCCTGTGCCACTGGAGGTCACGTCATCCCTGGACCACAGCACCTGTTTGTACAGGAGGGACTGCGTGACAGCAGGGTGGATGTGGGGTGGCAGGCAAGGCTCAAGCTCACCTGAGTCTCCACCCCATTAGCCTGCCCTCCATTATAAGCCCTCCATTCCCATGTAGGGCTGTCTCCCTACTCTCCTGACAGGTTCATTACAGGTAAGAGGAACACCAAGGGCCAGTCTCACCAAGTTCCTACTCTGGCCCAGTACTGCCCAATAGAACTTTCTGGAATGGTGGAACATTCTTCTTCTGAGCTGTCCGACAGGTAGCCACTAACACATGTGACTATTAAGTACTTGAAATGTGGCTGCTGCGACTGAGGAACTGGGTTTAAATTTTATTTGCTTTAGTTAACTTAAATAGCCACATGTGGCTAGTGGCTACTATATCGGACTGTGCATCTTTGGTCAATTCCCAACCCAGCCAATTCCAACCTAGAACTGGCAGGAAAGATCCCGCCTATGCAAGTGGGCTGAGGCCAGGCAGGCTAGCGCAGGCTGGGGAGAGGGCTGGGCAGGAAGCTGAGAGGCGGCAGAGGGGGCCAGCTCAGCCTGAGGCAGCCCCGCCCCTCTCCCAGTGGCCATCACAATAGCAACCAGCCCAGAATCACAATACCACTGCGGGGAGGTAGCTGTTTCCTCCAGGGGCAGGTCTCTCTGTCTGCAGACCTACTTAGAGCAACCCAGGCGGCAGAGGACCAGTTCCTGGGGAATGGAAAAGCGCCCAGCGGCTGAGCGGCCTCAAGCTGGAGACCCAGAGGAGGAAGCGGGGTAGGCCTAGGGATGGGGGAACCTTCTTGGCCCCAGGACCCAGGCGCTGCAGGGCCCTGCAGCTGGGCGGCCAGGAGACACAATACCCTGTGAGCGCTGACCAGCTGCTCATCTTCCTCCTGGCGATTTGGTTCTTCTACTTCTTCTACCTTCAGAACTACTTCTGAGTGGCCCTCCCTTCCACCTGCCCCCTGGGCTGGAGGACAACAGCAGCAAGCAGTGTGGCCCAGGTCCTGCGTGTGAGGGCAGAGCGCGGCCAAGGCCCCAGCCTTGACCCTGCAGGGAGAACAGCCAGGACACGGCAAGGGCTCACTCTGCACCTCGGGCATGGAGATTGGGAGACAGCCACGGGGGCCAGGCCCAGCCTCTTGTTCTGAGGGCCCAGGGCTACATGTCCAAACAGCCTTTGTGTTGAGTAAATGATACAGGAGAGGAAAGGACACGCGCCCCACACAACGCAGACCATGACATCTCCTGTGAAGTTGTGTCCAGGGAAACGCCACCAGGAGGCAGAGGGAAGGATGTGCCGGCCTCTCCGCAGCCGCCTCTGTGGACGTACAAACCCCCAAGGAACTCTCAAACACGCAGGCTCTCTAACCCCAACCCCAGATCTCTGAATTCCTTGGTCTGGACTGGAGACCAAGAATCTCAATTTTTAATAAGCTCCCTCCTTCCCCTGTCAGTCTAAGGACCATAGTTGTTCCTGTCCCTCGTGCAAAGCACGGAAGCCAGAGAGAACAGCAGCCTCCATCCCTCAGCGGACCCAAGAACGAAGCAGAGGCAGCAGGCCTGTGGGAGGAGAGGGGAGCAGGCGGCTCAGATTCCTGGGGGCCTTGAGAGAACCCCCCCCAGTCTATCTACAGGGGCCTTTGATAAAATCTCAAGGATAAACTATGAAGTATTGCTGGGCTGCTCCTTCCCAAACGTGTTCAGAAAGGAACAGGGAATAGCACGGTGTATTTTCTCACTGATGTTCTCCTAGTGACTAAAATCTATTCCACACAGTAAACAGTTGTAAGAATACATATTTTCCCTCTGGGACTCCATAAAACTAAATTTTGAATGGAAAAACAAAAGCAGCCTATATACAAGTAGTTTTCCTGAAATGGGCCCCCTGCAGAAGAAGGTACCTTCCCCTCGGAGGGCTGCGGAGCCAGCTCCGCCATCATGCAGCTGAGCATGTTCTGGCACCCTGGCACCCAGCCTGAGAGAGGCTGCTCGACCCTCCCTGCCTGCACGCACACCCACCTGCACACCCTCACACATCAGACACATCTGAAAATGTGACTTCTTGTCCCTTCAGGCCATTGACCTGAATTACAGGCTGAAGGGGTTGCAGTGACTGCTCACGGCTGCTCTACCACAGTCCCACTTTGTCTGGGTGCAGGTAGGGAACGGGTATGACGACACAGACACGCATTCTGCCAGGAGGAAGCCTACAGGGGACGTCAACCATTCTTTATTAAGGCTCGGAGTGGTCTGCCAGCTGGGGGGCTGAGTCATTCACTCCATAGACCTCTGCCACGGTCCACTTTTGGGTGACACTGAAGGTGGAGGCTCTCTTCGAGATCCTGAGCCACAGTCTTTGTGCTCCACTCACATCCACCCTGCAGGATGGGGGTGGGCGTGCAGATAACTTGGGGGGCCCTCAGCAGAGTGGGGCTGGCTCTAGCAGGCCCTGGGGCCCGGCAGGGGGTGGCAGGGAAGCAGAGGAGGGCAGGGACATCTCCCCCATCCCTCCCAGCCCAGACTATGGCTTTGTTATCCTATTGCCACTGGAGCAGGAGTGGAGTGCTCCTCCTCCACCCCTCACTCCCGGCCTGTGCTACGCTGTGTGAGGAGATAAAGGGAAAGCCCTTGGGAAAGAAGAGGCCCCTCTGTGCCTGGGACCTGGCCAGACCTCAGGGGAACTGTGACCCCCACTCCTGCTCTCCCTCGGCTCCTCCCAGTGATAGGTCTTCTCGAGTTGAGGAGCTGGTCACTCAGAAGTGGACTCGCAGCACGTCCTGGCTGGCAACTGGCTGCTGGCAGGCTGTGCATGTCATGGGCAGGGAGTGCTGCTTTTCACCCAGGCAGGGCCGGCACAGGAGGTGGCCACAGGGAAGCTGATACACAGGCTCCTTTTTGAAGTAGGCAGAAAACACTCTTTTGCAGGAGGCACACTCGGGGCCCAGGACGCTCCCAGGCTGCTCTGGTAAATCAGGGAGGAAGATGGGCCAAGGTTAGGGAAAGCTGCCTCCTGGTCCAGGCTCCATCCTGGAGGCAGGGCACGTGCCTGGAATGGGACAAGAAGCTTCCCCACCCTACACCCCTGCAGCAGCCTGGCTTCATCCCTCCCTAGGCCTCCTCTGCCTGACCTGGGAGGAGAGGGTACGAGGGAACCTGGGAAGCTGACAGGCCTCTTCTCGATCATCAAATCTCAGTGCTCCCATGAATGCTCAAGAAAAGCTGACTTCTGAGGGCAGCTGGGCAGCACTGGGCCCTTCCTCTCAGTGTGCCAGCAAGATGTACTTCAGCTTTTTATTACACTCACAGATTCTGAAGGGGCTGCCAAGGCCAGAGCAAGGCACAAGCTCACCCTGACAACGCTGATAAACTGCAAGAGAGGTGAGATGTGACAAGAAAAGGAAAAAGCAGAAAATGGTCTGGTGTACCAGGGTTGGGCAGGTCAAGGGGAGGTCAGCAGAGGGGCAGGGCTGAGGTCTGTCTGCAGCAGGCCTGCTTGCTCAGCCTGGCACCTGCTTCTGTTCAGTCCTGCAGCCCGGCAGCTCCCCTCACGACCCATCATTCCCCTTCCTATGTGGCAGGCTCTCTCTCCTCCCATGATTCCTGCAGGGCCTCCTGAATGAGGGCTACGGGGGCAGGTCCTGCCAAACCCCTCCCCAAGCTGCACTCACAGCTCTTCCCCATCTTGGGCCCTAAGGAGGCTGCTCTTTCTCCCCCAACCCACACCCCTCTGGAGAGGACAAGGATGGCCTCTTGGGGGGAAGTGCCAATAAGAACGAGAAGAGGCCAGCCATGCAGAGTGAAGGGGACAGCAAGAACAAAGAATGGCTAGTCCATTAAAGACAGAGAAAAGACACAGAGGTGGGATGTGTAAGAGTATGGCTTCAGAGGAGACTGCAGAGGAGGGTGGACGAGGGTTGGAGCATGCAGGCCCTCACAGGCAGCAGGAGTTGGGTTTTACTCCAAATTCAATGGGATGTGCTGGAGGGATTCTAAGAAGAGGGGTACCATGACCTGGTTTACATTATGAGAAGATCGCTCTGGCTCCTGTAAGGCAGGTGGCTGTGGGGGCAGTAGCGGCTGCTGCAGGAATCTGAGGGAGTGGCACAGGAGCTGGGGCCAGGGTGGCGGCAAGGGCAGTGGAGCAGAGAAGGCCACTCTGAGATCTACTCTGGAGGAGCACGAACAGGACTTGATGATGAAAAGAACGTCGTCAGGATGAGCATGTCGAGGGAGACCAAGGAGGACCTCCGTGTTAGAGGCCTGACCAAAGGGTAGAAGATGCTGCTCTCTACCCGCAATGGGGATGATAGGAAGTGGGGGTGGGCGGTGGGGGGAGAACATTTGGAGGGCAGACATCAGCAGTTCTGAGTTAGAACGTTCACTCAAGGTATCCATGAGTTCCCATGTAGAGGCACCAAGCAGCTGTCAGGGAGGTTGGGGTCTGAGTCCCAAGGGGAGCTATAGGTGAACATGGGCAGTCACTGGCCAAGTGGGCTCTCACTTGGGTGACAGACAGTACAGAGTCCAGGAAGAGTCTGGAAGAGAAGGAAGAGTCGGCAATGGAAACTGAACAGGAGCTGCTGAAAATGGGGAGAAAAAGAATGTAACATCTGGAAGGCCAAGAGAGAAGGTATCTGAGGAAGGAGGGGCTGATCAGTCACACCAGACGCTGCTGAGAGGATAAGTGACCAGTGTATGTGGGGTCACAGAAACCGCTCATCACTTAGACAAGACAGTTCTTGGGAATGGTCAGGATGGAAACATAATCAGAGAGACAGGGAGGTGGGGACAAAGGGAGGTAAGGAGGACAAGAGGCAGAGGAGGTAAGATGGCCTGGGATCCAGACAAGAGAAGGGACTGGCTCTGGACAGGCAGGAGGAAGCAAGCGTGCGGCTCATCATAAGCCCCACCAGGCTTCATCTTGTAGAAAATGCCCCAGCATTCCAGTCAGATCCTCTCACTTTATATCCTAACCAATTCTATCATTCTAAGTGATCCCAGGTTCATTTTAGGAAAAAATTGGCTCAGTGAGCTACCACTGTACTTTTCTAAGACTAAGAAAATGTTAATAGGAAGAGATGAAGATGACATACTCAACCCCAAATCCCTCCACACTTACACAAAGCACTCCAGATGTCAGATAGGAGACAGACTAGTCAAGAAAAATATCTAAAAAGTACAAACCAAAGTCCTCAGCATAGAATAATCAACATTAGATCTTACCAAAAAACACAGCAGAGGGTAGCCAAGCCCTAAGTCCACAGAATTACTAAGAGTTGACTAAAGAAAGCCTTTCTTGTGAAGAGTTAAACTTCACAGGCAGACCCTCAACTCTCCCTGGAAGAGACTGGGTTCTCCCCTCAGCCCCGGGTGTTAGAGTTAAGGAATCTGGGGATGGAGGTCCACAGAGCCCCACAGCATGGCCCAGCATCCCGTTCAGGGGCTCAAAGGGGACGGATGGGGCCCATGTTACCCGAGCCTGTGCCTGGCCTCCAGGAAGTGCTGCTCCCTCTTGTGCTGAGGTGCTGGAGCTGTCCCCTGGTCAGCCGAGCCGTGAAAGAGGGCCTGGAGCCAAGGGTTGATGTCAAGGCAATTTCCAAGCTTTGTGACAGTTTCTGCTCATGGGACACTGGACCTGTTGAGAGACGCACAGAGGTTCGGCAAAGACGACAACCAAAACACAAAGTCCTCTGAGGACTATAAAAACGGCACTTACAACTTCGAGTAGACACAAATGTGAAGAAAGTTCTCCCTAACGTCTACCAGTGGATTGTGATGCCAGAAGACAGAGAGCGAAAGTCTTGGGGATCCTGGCAGTTTGTACCCATCCCACACCCCTTTCGGTGTTCCCAGGCTCTGCACTAGAGTTCCTCCTCCCAGGACAGACTGCTGAGCGGGCACGGGCCACCTTGTGGCTCCCCTGCAGAACTGCACCCTACTTTCTGAAGGCCTCCCTGCTGGCCATGGAAATGACTCTGCAAGCAAAAGCCCCACCTCTGCCCCTGCTCCATGCCCCCATCCCCTCCCCAGCAGCACCAGTCTGCTCTTTCCTCATCTCCTCCCTTCTGGGGCCCGACCAGTCTGCGACACTGCTGGCCTGTCCTTTCTCTCCTGTTAAGTAAAGCAAAGCTGTTCTCATCGAGGAGCAAAACGAAGACCTCACTCTGCCCACTCCACGATCTAGGGGGCCTTCTCTGCATGGTCCGCAGAAAGTCAAGCAATGGACTGAGAATAAAAGCAACGTGGGAAGGGGGAGAAACCTCCAAGAAACAACCCAGTGACCTGCCTGGTAGCAGGGTTCACAAAACTGCCCACAAGTGATGAGTGGAACATTTTGTCTAGTCTGTAGGACATAGAACATCAGCTTGGGGCTGTGGAGCACTGGTCGGTGTGGTCTTGTGTCAGCAACAAATGTGTCAAAGCCGACACCCCTGGAGACATCACAGACATAGGGTCTAAGGACCTTTCTCCTTGTCTCGCCCCCCCTGTACCTCATATGCTTCCAGGAGTTTCTGGGGGTCATGTCAACCAAAATTTACACTCAAAACCAGAGAAGACACAGATGTAACTTTCAAGCACACTATTTTCATAGGCTTTCTAGAGTAAGAGAGGAAATTAAAAGAATGCTAAAATCTAAACAGACTAATTTCCATTTAGAAAAAAGAAAAAGAGCTATGTCCAAAGCACCAGGTGCTGACAATCATGGGGAAATTCTACCAAACGTGAAGAGTGAACGAGTCTAACACTGTTAAATTATTCTACAGTTTAGAAAAGGAACATTTCCTAACTCTTCTTATGGAGTAAATAAATCACTGACACCAAAACCTGACCAAAGATGGCATGTGCACGCCTACACACACACACCACAGTCCAATCTCACTCAAACACCAGCAAACAGAATGATGCAGAATGTTAAAAGAAGCAAGACCAAATGTAGTTCCTTCCAGGACTACAGTAATGGTTCAATATTAAGAAGTCCATTAATGTACTTTCTCACATTAAAAGATCTAAGATGAAAAATCCTAATATGATCTCCATTGATATGGAAAAGTCATTTGACAAGATTCAACCACCAATCTTTGAAAAAACACTGAATAAAATAGAGATCAACAGTGTGGGAGAGTGTCTGAATGGCTCCCAATGAACCTCACCTCCTGATCCTCACACCCTTGGGTACCCCTTCCGCTTGAGCATAGGCTGGACACAGTGACTTGCTTTTAAGAGAATATAGCAAAGCAATGGGATGTCATTTCCATGATTAGTTCTGTAAGGCTGTGACTTCCATCTTGTTTGCTCACTCTCTCTGGTGTACACAGCTACCATGTTGCTTGCTGCCCTTGAGAGGCCCACATGGCAAGGAATTGAGGGAAGACTGGTCATGAGCCAACAAGGAAGAGAGTCCATCAGTGCAGCAATTCCGCAAGGCACTGAATCCTGCAACAATCACATGACAGAGCTTAGAAGTGAAGCCTTCCAAGTCAAGCCTTGAGTTAGTCAACTGCAGTCCAGTCAACACTTTGACAGCAGCCTTGGAAGACCCGGAAGTAGACGACCTAGCCAAGCTACACCTGGATTCCTGTCCAGAGAAGCTATGAGATAACGAATGTGTGGTACTTGAACCCAGTAACTTTTGGGGTAATTTAAGCTGGCAAAGCAAAAACCAAAGGGCAATGGTGCCAAGCGTCCCCTGGGAGGAGGAGGGCTGACAATGGGCATGGAGATAGGAGGGCAGATTACCTGTTGAGCAGTCCATGTGTGTCAGACCAAGCTCACTGGCAGCTTTCATTTTCTTAGTGGTGTGTTCTGAGGTAGTGGGTGAGACCAGAAGGCTTGTGGTAGAAAAACAGGAAGCATTTATACCAAGGCTACTGTCTGGGGCATGGTCAACCTGCTCCATCTTCCTTTTCCGAGAAGGCAGAGCAATTGAAGACGGGGTAACTGCCAACGCAGTCTGTGCTCTCCCAAGCAGGTAGCAGCCAGGGATGGAGTGCTGGAGCAGGAAATGGTCAATCCGGGCCTTCAGGGAGGGGTGAGGCAGGGGCTGGGAATGTGGAGTAAAGGCTACCCCTGTGAAAGGGTCACTGGGCACTCGGCCCCATGTGGCTTCACTGCGGTTACACTTCTCCAGTGTGCTCTGGTCGATGACCTTGCCTGAAGGGAGCAGCATGGGGCAAGGCATGATTTCCAGGGTGATGGGATCCAGGAACTCCTCAGGCACATCCTGAATTACCTCGGCCAGCTCTTGCAGGCTGGAAGGGGCCGGTGGGCTCTCAGACTGGCCCCCAGTGTCACAGTCGCTTTCCATGGGCAAGGCGGGGGCCTGCAGAGCCAAGTCTCGAGGGAGGCTCTCTGAGGCAACCAGCAGGACACTGTCTATCACCTCTTGAGAGCAGGTTTTGGCTGGCTGACCCCAGACTTCCAGCCGCTTGATGCAAGGTATACCGCTGCCTGTCACATGGGTGATACAGATCTTGACATGGGCCACGTGGCTAAGAGAAAGAGCCCCTTTATTCCAAAGCTCCTGTGCCACAACAGCAGGGGAGGGGAGCGTGGCTTCCACTGGGCCAAAAGGTGGCCTAGCCTTGAAGCCCCTGTGGTTAAACACGACTTGGCTCTGGTTTTTCAACAAGACTTTGCCTACCAAGGTGAATGCTTCCCTGTCCGGGACGGAAGGCTCAGCTGAGCCCAGGGCCCGGCACTCGAGGGTATTCCAAGACGCTCTGCTGGATAAGGCAGATGTGTACATTTCCAGGCCAGTGACATTCTGGCCTCCCCCAGCTGTGAGGTCTATGTTAATCCTACAGATTTCCACACTGAAGGGAAAGGAAACTATCACATAGACTGGTGGCTTAATGAAATACTCTGTCCTAAAACCATGACTTCTCTTTGTGAGATCTTCAGAGATGAGATTTTCTACTTCATAACCATCAGCTGATATCTAGATTTAATGACAAATACAAGACACATTTATTTGATGAGATCCAAACAAAGACAACTAGTTTTCAAGAATTCATCACTTCTAAGAAACTTTAACATAAAGTCTGAAATTCCTCACTTAAAATTTCTTCTAATACATCGAATTTTCCTGGGTTTTTTGCAGCCATCTAAGATCAGGTCAAAGGCTGGAAGCAACTGTATCCCCAAGTACTGCCCATCCTTAAAGAATATGAGCAACAAAACACTGCCCAACCCAACCAAAAATCTCTTCAAAATAACATCTGCGTAAAAGGGGGCAGATATACTAGTGTTTTTTTTTATTTCAAAGGATGAAAACAAGCCAATTTAGGGAAAAACAAAGATGTTCATTAAAGTTCTCAATTTTGTATTTGGACTCTATCAATTATAACAGTTTCCTTAGGAAAGCACAACAAATGAGCTTCTTGTAAATTTATGAATGATGGAAGTAAGCAAAAAAAAAGAATGTGTGCACGGGAACAAGAACCACAAAAAACTATGGGAAATTTAAAACAGAGAATGTTCTAGGAGAGGTGGGATTGTAACTTTTTCCCCTTTTAGTATTTCTAACATTTGTTATAACCAATGGAGATTTTAAGATATCTTTGTCTGAAAGAGTCAGCTTAACAATGTGGGACCCTTCTGAAATAGTACAGTGTGGGCATAAACTTTTAGGGGAGGGGTTCAATTTTCCCCTTGGAGTTTCCTTATTCCCTTCTCTGAGCTGTGGAAAGATACTCTCCTTTGCACAAAATGGAAAACAGCTTAATTCAAGCAATAAAGAACAAGAAATCCAAATAACAAATATAAGCCATTATTTCTAGCATGAGAAGTTAGCAAGAAGAATGGGGTAGAGGGTATTTCCACCTTCACTAGGACTTTGAGTGGAATCAGAACTTATCATCAGAGGGAAGAGTACAATGACTACGACCCTCCAGAAAATGAGTCACAGCTCACCCTGTAACAGTGCTAACTCGAGAGGGGCAGCCTGACCCATGCTTACATATCACCTGGTGGCATCTAAAACAATGAGGGTGAAAGCACATTAAGCCTGAATTAAGTCCACATAGACAAGGTAGGAAATGGGGAAAAACATGAAAAATATCGTATATTTATTTACATGCATATACTTGCTTTATTTACCTTGTTGCAGTAAATTCTTGGTCTGAACTGTGGAAGGCAAAGATTTATTACCATCTTTGTGGCTGAAAGGACAGCTTCCAAGCATCAGAAATAGCCTTAAATAAAAGATAAAACTTGGTGTGAGACAAGTTAAAATTTAATTCTAAACTTCTAGCAGTTGATTCCTAAGAGAAGAGAATCAAACAGGATAACAAAAACTTTAACACTCACACTCTTGTGATCTATACTCACTCTCTTTGTATCCTACATGTGATGCTGGGAAAAAAGCTAGTCACTAAAAAACTGCAGAGGAGATTTCTATTGCTGACTGACCAGGGTGGCAAAGACTGCCGGTTCTCTGGCTGACAGCTGGAGGCAAGAGCCTGTCACCTCTGCAGGTGGGGGGGTCTCCAGAGGAAAAGGAGGGTCAAAAGTGGCTGAGCTCAGAGAAAGAGCAGGACTACTTAACTAGATGGTTCAGAATGGAAAGAGTCACAGAAAATAATCATAGTGGTGCTAGGCATCTTTGTCATTTAACACTTGTCAATGCAATTACATTTTCTTATTAAAACAAAAACAATTAGAAGAGTCAAAAACATCATTATTGAAAATCTTAGGGTTGGAAGCACCTTAAAAGGACATCTAGGGGCTGGCCCAGTGGTACAGCGGTTAAGTTCGCGCATTCTGCTTCGGCGGCCTGGGGTTCTCTGGTTCGGATCCCAGGCGCGGACGCACACACTGCTTATCAAGCCATGCTGTGGCAGGCATCCCACATACAAAGTAGAGGAAGAGGGCACAGATGTTAGCTCAAGGCCAATCTTCCTCAGCAAAAAGGGGAGGATTGGCAGTGGATGTTAGCTCAGGGCTAGTCTTCCTAAAAAAACAACAAAAAAAGGGACATCTAGGGGCTGGCCCAGTGGCACGGTGGTTAAGTTTGTGTGCTCCACTTGGGCGGCCCAGGGTTTGCCAGTTTGGATCCCAGGCTCAGACCTACACACTGCTTATCAAGCTATGTTGTGGCAGGCATCCCACATATAAAATAGAGGAAGATGGACACAGATGTTAGCTCAGGGCCAATCTTCCTCATCAAAAAGAGGAGGACTGGCAGTGGATGTTAGCTCAGGGCTGATCTTCCTCAAAAAAAACAAAGACATCTAATCCAAGTAGTCATTTTAATGACCAATGTCCAGGGTGGGGGAAACAGGTGAAAGTGGTCAAAAGGTATAAACTTCTGGTTGTAAGATAAATAAGTAATGGGGATGTAATGTACAGCATGTTGACTATAGTTAAAATAACATATTGTGTATTTGAAAGTTGCTAAGAGAGCAGATCTTAAAAGTTCTCATCAGGAGCTGGCCGAGTGGTGCAGCGGTTAAGTTCGCACATTCTGCTTCGGCCGCCAGGGGTTTGCTGGTTCAGATCCCGGGTGCGGACATGGCACTGCTTGGCACGCCATGCTGTGGCAGATGTCCCAAATATAAAATAGAGGAAGATGGGCACAGATGTTAGCTCAGGGCCAGTCTTCCTCAGCGAAAAGAGGAGGATTGGCAGCAGATGTTAGTTCAGGGCTAATCTTCCTCAAAAAAAAACAAAGTTCTCATCACAAGAAAATAAATTCTAACTGTGAGGTGATGGATATTAACTTATGTTAATGATTTTGCAATATATACATATATCGAATCATTGTTGTGCATCTTAAACTTACATAATGTTATATGTCAATTATATCTCAATAAAAGTGGAAGAAAAAATGACCAATGTCCAGCAGCCTTTGGTACTCCCTGGAGAAAAGCCGGGAAGCCACTAGCAACATCCCTCCCAATGGCAAGCCTCTCCAATGGATCCGAAATCCTTGGGTGAGGCCAGCCACCCGTTTTTCCATGTGGCAGACAAGGCCATGAAGAACTCTTTTTCTTTTTTTTTTTTAAGATTTTTTTCTTTTTCTCCCCAAAGCCCCCTGGTACAGAGTTATGTATTTTTAGTTGTGGGTCCTTCTAGTTGTGGCATGTGGGATGCCGCCTCAGCATGGCTTGATGAGCAGTGCCCTGTCCATGCCCAGGACTCGAACTGGCGAAACCCTGGGCCACCACAGTGAAGTGCGCGAACTTAACCACTCGGCCACAGGGCTGGGCCCCGTGAAGAACTCTTTTAGCCCAACAGGGACAGGGTCACTCTCTGGGGTCATCTTGTTGTCATGATCAGTAGACGCCACTTGCAGAGGCCAGGCATGTTGGGCATCCTACAACATTTTAGTAGGCCGTTTCTGCACAGTGAAGAGCTGCCATGGGACCTTTAAATGTTTATCATCTCAGCCTAGTCTCCTAACTCAGCTTTACATATGAATACAAATTTTTTTTTGCTTGAGGAAGATTTGCCCTGAGCTAACATCTGTGCCAATCTTCCTCTACTTTGCAGGTGGGGCACCTCCACAGCATGGCTCATGAGTGGATTAGGTCTGCATCCAGGATCCAAACCTGTGAACCTGGACCACCGAAGTGGAGCACACAGAACTTTAACCACTCAGCCATGGGGCTGGCCCCACAATGTATTTTTTAAATCATTTTAATATATGCTTAATTTTCTAGGAAGGGAATTTCCATGTAAATCATAGAGAGATCATACTTTATTTCATTCAGATCTTTGCTAAGAGGTGTTCACCATTTCTGAAAACTACATCACTGACAGCAATGCTAATAAACCTGACAATCTGCATTTACAGCAGCCTACATTCTAGGTTATTCTACATGTTGGTAAAAGCTTCTGATTACTTTTTTATGCCTTCCAGTATGGTCATTTCAAACATTTACACATGAGAATAAATTTTACTATCACACTTTAAAATTTCTCCTTTATATTACTGTTAGGGCATCTGTGTGTATGTATGTATGCATGTCTACGTGTGTATGTACGTAGGAATGTATGTGTGTCTATACCTGCACACACATATACATGCACACACGTTTGTTTTTTAAAAAATAATGTACATAAGTGGGGCTGGCCCCGTTGCCGAGTGGTTAAGCTCATGCGCTCTGCTGCATGCGGCCCAGTGTTTCATTGGTTCGAATCCTGGGCGCAGACATGGCACTGCTCATCAAACCACGCTGAGGCAGCATCCCACATGCCACAACTAGAAGGACCCACAACTAAAATACACAACTATGTACGGGGGGGATTTGGGGAGAAAAAGCAGAAAGGAAGAAAAAGCTTTCTTATATATGGCAATAACTGGTTAGAAAAATTAATGGGATAAAAGGGTCCTATTCATAAATAGCAACCTTAGCAAGAAACACATAAGACCCCTTGAGGGAAAAATTGACGAGTGGTGCCATGTCCACGCCCAGGATCCAAACCAGCAAAACCCTGGGCCGCCGCAGCGGGGTGTGTGAACTTAACCACTCGGCCATGGGGACAGCCCCAAGAAAGCTTATCATTTTGGTATCCTTACTATGTGTCCGCTTGTCTTATTGAATTCATTGATTTAACAGATTTTCAGTTATTTTCTACAATCTCAGTAATAATGAGAGCCTCTTTTTCAAGATGGTAACTCTTATTTCTGTCTCTCTTCTTACTACATTAGTTAGAACTTCCAGAATTATATGAAATAATAAAGAGTTGCCATGATTGTTTTGTTCCCATTAGGAAATGCCTCTTGTGTTTCATCTTTGAGCATAATTCTGATTTTTAGATTGAAATATTCTTTTTATGTTAATAGAGCATTCTAATTTTCATAGTTTTTTGAAAATTGGAGATATGCTTTGAATTCTGATTTTCCCTATATATTGTGTTTTGTTATTTTTCTTATCTTACAGACTGAGATATAGCACATTTTCCTAATTTTAAACCATCCTTTTATTCCTAGGATAGGCTTGATTTGGTTTTAGCAGATTGTTCCTTAAATGTTATTCAAATTCTATTGAATTTGATTGCTCATATTTAATTTTAGATGAGATATTACTGCACATTCACAGAACATTTACAAGCCCTGTGCTAGGTACTGGAGTATAGAGATAAAAATGAAATGGTCAGGTGGTGAAACTATTCTGTATGATTCTATACTGGTAGATACATGACATTATGCATTTGTCAAAACTCACAGAACTGGGGCCAGCCTGGCAGCATAGCGGTTAAGTTCACACGCTCCATTTTGGTGGCCTGGGGTTCGCAGGTTCGGATCCCGGGCGCAGAGCTATCACTGCTTGTCAAGCCATGCTGTGGCAGCATCCCACATAAAATAGAGGAAGACTGGCACAGATGTTAGCTCAGCGACAATCTTCCTCAAGCAAAAAGAGAAAGACTGGCAACAGATGTTAGCTCAGGGCCAATCTTCCTTACATACACAAAAAAACAAAACTCACAGAACTGTACAACACGAAGAGTGAACCTTAATGTAAACTATGGGCTTTGGTTAATAACAACATATCAATATTGCCACATCAATTACAACAAATGTACTGCACTAACGCAAGATGTTAATAATAGGGGAAACTATGTGCAAGGGAGAAGAGGAGGTATTTGGGAACTCTATTTTATCTGATCAATTTTCCTGTAAATCTAAAACTGCTCTAAAAAATTAATAATAACAATAATAATGAATGATTGGGGAAGAAAGTGACTGAAAACAAATTAGGACTAGAGATCAAACTGAAACAAGTGACTGTGTCATTACAGGACAAGGGTGGCAGACCCTTTTTAAAAAATCTTACAAATCATGCTGTTTCTTTGGGAAATAGTGATGCCTAAACACTGTAGAATTCTATAGGATTCTGGCTGCCATCAAGGTCTTTGTATGATGTTTTCATCTCTCTGGTTCCAACATCCCTGATCTTTTAAGGTCAAGTGCCTCCTGCCTTAATGCCTAATCCAGAAAAAAAGAAAGGCTTACCATATGAAAATGCAAACAGCCTTATCCAGGAAGACTGCCTCCTCAGCCCTGACTAGGAAATGGCCATGTAACCTGGGCTCATTGCAAATACTGTCCAGTAAATACCTATAAATTATTGTCTCCTTTTCCAGATTTGGCATCTAAATACAAGAGAGACTGAGTAGAAATCGCGGGCCACAGATCATGGCTAAAGTTCCCTGCAGCTCAGAGAAGTAGCCTGGAGCCAAATAACGGCACTATAAAACAGCAAGATAATAGAGGTTATAAGCAGATAATATATGTCAACTTTCATTATAGAGATTTTTTCTTTTTATTATAAACTATTTCAGATAAAAAGGTAAAGAACATAACATAGTAGACACTTATGCCCACCACCTAGACTGAGCAAATGTTAACATTTTGCCATGCTTGCTTCTCATTTCAGTATAAAGAGAAAAATTTTAAAGGTATAAACAAAACCGACCAACAATCTTATTTTCTCTCCCCTTTTACCAAGAGGAAAGCTCTATCTTAAGTTTGTGTCTCTCATTCAAATCAGTATAAGTACGTGTGTATACAAAAGCACGCAGCAGTCTGTGTATTTTCAATGTACCTTAAAGATAAAATACCATGTGTATCATCTTGCAACTTGCTTTTCTATGAAACGTTATTATTTTAAGATTTGAAATGTATATGTCTAGTTTATTCATTTTAACTTCTTCATAGTCTTCAATTATATGACTGAAATACAGTTTATTTCTCCATTGCCCTATTACTTACGTTGTTTGTAATTTTTTACTATGAAAAAAAAGCTGCAATAAATATTCTCTACAAGTCTTCTTGTGAAAAAAAAATGAAATGAAATGGTCTTGTCCTCCAGTCTTGAGGCATTACAGATTTTCTTCCAGCAAAGATTACGGAATACAAAGGTTTGTAATACAGCTTTCCGCAGATGACACTTAGAGTGGGAAGTGTGGCCTAAATCAACGTTTTTCAATTTGTGGTTTCAAAATCAAATTATGGGTTGAAGAAAGGAAATATTAACTAAAAGAGAATACAAAATACCAAAATGCACATAGTATGGGCATTATTTCATGAAACTTTTGTTTCAGTTTTCTACAAACACATATAACAAATGTATTTACTAGATCTAATATAAAATGAATTTCTTATTGGGGCTTTTTTTTTTTAGGAAGATTAGCCCTGAGCTAACATCCACTGCCAACCCTCCTCTTCTTACTGAGGAAGATTGGCCCTGAGCTAATATTCGTGCCCACTCTCCTCTACTTTATATGTGGGACGCCTACCACAGCATGGCTCGACAAGCGGTGTATAGGTCTGCATCCAGGATCAGAACCAGCGAACCCCGGGCTGCCGAAGAGAAGTGCATGAATTTAACTGCTTTGCTGCTGGGCTGGCCCCTTAGTGTGGCACCTGATGAAAAAAATGGAAAACCTCTGGCGAAAAGTATACCCAGAAGTCAGGGAAGAATTCACAGGAGTAATGTTTGAACTGGAGACAACTAAGACACACGCCTGACTGCATGGGCAACTCTGAAGAGGGACAGACACCACATCCTAATGGAACAATATGCTTGACTATAGGAGCCAAGAGGCAAGAACAGGAACAAAAGGGGAAGGGCTAAAGGGAGAGGGACCAGGAAGAGTCAAAGCATAGAGATGAAACAGTGTGAGGTAAGTCCAGGAAAGGCTGAATATGCCACTTAGCTAGAGGGGAGAGGAGGAGGCAGGGCTGGAAAGGCAGATGGAGTCAGATGGACAGGGCCTTGAATGTCATGCCAAGGAGCTTCAGACTACTTTACCTGGTGGGCTGTGGCAGTGTTTTTCCAAACTGCAGACCAAGAATTAAGAATTCAAATTACTGAACCACAACTAGCACTTTTTTTTAAGTAGAATAGAAAGAAAATGTCACAGTGTACCACACGAGGGTGAAACTCTGAAATATGTGTGTCTCTATATATAGAGAGAGAGAGACACACACACACATTTATCTAAAACTATATCTAGCTATCTATCTACTTATTCTGGGTTTTAATGTAGAAGACACTTCTTACTAAGGGTTGTAAAAAAACTTTGAAAGCTACTGGTCAGAGGAAAGTTACAGAAAGCTTATAACCAGGGAAAGAAATGACACTAATGAAAAGTCTGCCATTAACCTCCCAGATGACAACGGCAATTTTGAACCACTTAGAGGCAATTCACCCTTCAGGGGTTTCCCCTTTCCTCCGGCTGTTATGTTCCCACTATACTTTTTGTACTACATGAGGGGCTATCTTTGCAAATGGCTTCCTGAAGACATCAAAGATGAGCATCAAAGTACAAACTACTTAGAAATAAACTGGCGGTCTCAGTTTTTTCCTTCAATTTTTTTTGAGGGAGGGGTATTCTTGAAAAAGAGGAAGGAGAAAAATGAACTATGCATAACGTATTACTAAGCATTTCACAAGGATTTCAAAGCTACCTTCTAGGAAATCTTTTATTTTAAAAAATTTTAATTAAACTTTTTATCTTAAGATAATTATAGTTTCACATGCAGTCCTAAGAAACAATACAGGGATCCCATGTACCCTTTAACCACGTCTCCCCACTGGTAACGTCTTGCACATAGTACATCATGACCAGGAAACTGACAATGATACCATCCACAGATCTTACTCAGATTTCACCAGTTTTACATGCACTCATTTGTGTGTGCCTGTGTGTTTAGTTGTAAGCAATTTTACTCTATGTGTAGATTTGTGTAATCACTACCATAGTCAAGCTATAGTACAGATCCATCACCACAGGGATCCCCTGTACGCCTTTTAAGAAGCCTTTTATTTTACAAATCCAAATGTCTATTACCACAGAAGTCTTGAAGGTCTTCACCCAGATATAAACCCCTCAACTGAAGACTCCAGTTAATCCCACTATCAGTGTAGATACACAGCAAGAAACAAACTTGAATGACACATGTTTATGCTTGGTGTACCTGTCACTTAAACGATAAATATGACTATGTAAAAAATGCAAAAGTAGGGGGCTGGCCTAGTGGCTCAACAGTTAAGTTCACATGTTCCGCTTCGGCAGCCCATAGTTCGCCAGTTTGGATCCCAGGTGCGGACCTACACACCATTTATCAAGCCATGCTGTGGCAGGCGTCCCACATACAAAGGAGAGGATGGGCATGGATGTTAGCTCAGGGCCAGTCTTCCTCAGCAAAAAGAGGAGGACTGGCGGCAGATATTAGCTCAGGGCTAATCTTCCTCAGAAAAAAAAAAACCCAGCAAAAGTATATATAAAATAAAGAAAAAGAACACAAAATAGAAGTATTACGATCACATATTAGTTAAAAGTCTACATCTAGGAATATGTATGCAGGAATAGTTTGGGAGGTAATGGTAGACATGTAGAAATTTAAAATATGCAATGTATTAGAGTGGTAGGAAAGTTTTTTTTTCCTTTCATGTGTTTAAAAAGTTGACAGGAGTACTCAGACAATTGGACCAGGTTCCTAATGTCGCAGGATGATATCAGAGAGGAATGAGGCTCTAGATTACAAGCTGAGAGTATTTCTTGCAGGTGACAGCCCCTACAGGACTGGATATCCAGATGGAGTCAGACCTTTCTCCTCTGCCTCCCTGTACTCAGGCTGAGGGAGGGAAAGTGCAAGGGAAGGGATGAGAAGGGATCCAGAGGTAGGGTGACCCACTATGTGGTCTATCTGAAACTGAGGGGTTTTCCAGAATTCGGAACTTTCAGTGCTAAAACCAGGAAAGTCCTGGGAAAACTGGGACAAGTTGGTCATCCTATCTGAAAGGTTTCTGTCTGCGTTTCCTTGGAGCTGGAAGCAGCCAAGCAACCTTTTTGTTGTTGAGGACACTTGGGGGTGGCAAAGTGTAGAGGGATAATTTAGAAGAGAATAAGGTGACCATGACACTTTCTGAACACCTCAGCATCCATCTTCCTTTGGCCTACAAAGAAGCTGCCATAGATGAGTTATACAACCTGATTTTTGAGTCTCACGAAAATGTAATGGAAAGTAATTCTGGCAGACACACATAATTTTAAAGACTAGGCTCAAACAGGTTACAGAGGGAAAAAAAAAGAAGAAAAGATTACCTGTCAAATAAGAGAAAAGCATTTAACCTCAAAGAGTGGGTGGAATACCAATGCACTGAGCAATTTTATAAATTGGGCACTTCAGCTTTTAAAGAAGTACAATGCTTCTTATAATTTCTAAATTGAGATACTTGTCCATCCGTGAAAAAAATCTGACTGGTGTGCATTTTCCTTAGAGCCGGTTAAAATGAAAGACAGCGGTCCCAGCCCATCCCACACAGTCACCCACCAGTGCGAGGTAAGCAGGGAGACAAGAACACAAGAGCAATCCTATACACTTGTAGCCAATTCACCCTTCAATGGCTTAATATGTACAAGGGATTCTGCTAGGCACAAGTGGACACAGTTTTTACTCTTTAGACACTCACAGGTTCAAAACAATGCAGATGGGCAAAGGGTTCTAATACTATTTCCTCAGTGCCTTAATAGCAGTGCCAGCAAAACTGTATGGGAACCCAGGTGAGGCAGCCAGGCTCTCCATGTACAAACCTGAACCCTAACTCCGTCCCTCTCTTCCAGGGCCTTATTCCATCTGTTCTTGCCTCTTTCCTGAATCCTCAACTTATCTCTGACTACAGAATCCTTTCCTTAACAAGTAAACATTGCTCCAGTCTCTTCTGCCCCCAAGAGCCCCCTCAAAAAAAGCCTTGCCTTGCTGCTATATGTCTTTCTTAGGGTTGCCAACCTAACAAACAAAAACACACACGTAAATCTGAAATTTGGATAAATGGATTTTTTTTTTTTTAGTAAAGCAATGTTCCATGTACTATTTGAGACATACTTACACTAAAAAATTACTAAATGCACATTCAGCAAACTATGAATAGAAAGGAACTTCCTCAACATGATAAAGAGCAATTATGAAAAACCCATAGCTAAATCATATCAATGGTGAAAGACTGATACCCCTAATATCAGGTCTGAGACAAGGATGCTTTCACCATTCCTATTCAATTTTGTACTATAAGTTCTAGCCAGAGAAAGTGGGCAAGAAAAAGAAACAAAAAGGCATCCAAAGTGGAAAGGAAGAAGTAAAACTCTCTACCCACAGATGACATGACCCCATACACAGAAAATCCTAAACACACACACACAAAACCTATTAGAGCTAATAAAAGAATTAAGCAAAACTGCAGGGTAAATTAGTTGTAACTTCTATACACTAGCAATGAGCAATTTACAAAGGCAATTAAGAAAATAATTCCATTTACAACAGCACCAAAAAGAATAAAATACTCAGGAATAAATTTAACTGAGAAGGTATAAGACTTGTACACTGAAAACTACAAAATGTTGCTGAAAGAAATTAAAGAAGACAAATAAATGGAAAGACATCTCGTGTTCATGGATGGGAAGACTTACTATTGTTAAGATTGAAAAGATGCTAATATCATTAGTCGCTAGGGAAATGCACATCAAAACCACAACGACATACCACTTCACACTCATTAGGATGGCTATTTTTCAAAAAAAAGTGTAAGCAAAGATGTGAAGAAAGTGGAACCCCAGAACACTGCTGTAGCAATGTAAAATGGCACAGCCACTGCAGAAGACAGTTTGGCAGTTCCTGAATAAGTTAAACATAGAACTAACATACGACCCAGCAGTTTCACTCCTGGGTACATACTCAAAAATACTGAAAACAAGTGTTCAAACAAAAACTTGTACATGAATGTTCACAGCAGCAACAGTCACAATAGTCAAAAGGTCCACCAACTGAGCAATGGATAAACAAGATATGGTAACATCCACACTATGGTCTATTATTAGCCATAAAAAAGAATGAAGTACTGGTACATGCTATAAAACATGGATCCTTGAAAACATTACACTAACTGAAAGGAGCCAGACAAAAGGCTATGTATTGTACAATTCCAGTTATATGACGTATCCATAATATGAAAATTCAGAGAGACAGAAAGCAGACTAGCAGTTTTCAGGGTCTGGGGGAGAGGGACGTAGGAGTGACTGCTTAATGGGTATGTTTCTTTTTGGAGTGAAAAAAATGTTCTGGAACTAAATAGTGATGACTAGTTACACAACACTATCCATGTACTATCACTGAATCGTAC